AGTAATATAAGTAATCTAAGTGTTAGTATCGTAAGTGGCGTATGTAATAAGTAGTGTAAGTAGTGTAAGTTTTTTTATTTAAAGTATATATACATATATAAAAGGTTTGAGCCGCAAAGAGCTCACTTGCCTTCCCCCCCACCCCCGCTCCCATCTTTAACCACCCCTGTATCCTGAATCGCGCGCGCGTTTTTGACTTACCCTGTTCTAGCGATTCCTGAAAAGTCCTATCCTTGTTTCTATTGATGAGCAGCTGGCAAAACATGAGCATCACCGGATGACTGTGAGCCACCAGCAAATGAATAAAACCCAGATATGCTACAAAGGCTGACGGAAAAGAGAGGGTATAAGGAAAACACATACCGGAGATTTTCAATGTAGCGTCTGCATCTTTGAAGCTGTAACGTCCCTTACTTCAAAGAACAGTTGAATTTAATATTTTATTTTATTTTATTTGTTTGATGGTGCGGTAAGGTCTTTAACAAAGTATACCCATTGCATCTTAAAAGACTACAGTAGCAGTAATCAACAGTGGCATCGGTAATGTTTCAAATTGTTGCCACGTGGGAGACTGTTTTAGTAAATCACTGAAAAGTTATGATTGATTTCAGATTTTGTGCAAATTAGGCTCTGAACCATGCTTGACGCAGGTTAAAAAGTGAAAGCTTCATAAATCGAGCTTAAATTAGCCTTTTTCAAGAAAGATCGGTTTTCGGAAAAAAGGGCTATCTTCGTGTCTGTTTGCATTATAAGGATTCGTACGCGGCTCAAACGTAAGAGAGACACTTCTCACGAACTTAGCTATGGACATGTTAGCCTGCAAGCAGGCGCACCTTTGAGTTTACGCCGAGAAGCGCGAGTGGGCGAGCGAAGCGGAAAGGAGTCTGGTGCGGAAGCTCGCTCGCATGCCCAAAACGTGAATCCGCTGGCAGGCTACGGACGTCTTCTCCAATCTATCATTAAAGTTTAAAACTGTGTCACTGAATAACACAGTTGCTTTTCAAACCTTGGTCCCAAGTCTGGAATCCCTGCATCATGGACGTGCGGTCGATACGAGACAAGAACACAACGCCTAACAACATTCCTTTCAGGATGCGAACCAAACAGGAGAACACTCCAAGGAGAATGTTGTAGAAAAAGAAAAAGTAAGCCATGATAGAGAACAGCCGTCTATATCAAGGAAAAGTAAAAGACACAGTAATAAGTAAGAGTAAAATGAATACAAACAGTTAGCTAACCATCGAAAATGGTTTCCCTATAACCTAAGGCAACCATATATTCAAGCTTGACTCAGACGGGATAGCGATGGAACAGACAAAAAAAAAATTTACTAAGTAGGGATGAGAGCCAAATTCTTACTGAGGTCTTTGAAACAAACCCCTACAATCCCCAAATAATTTATAATTATTTTCTGTATACTATTTGTTACGAAAGCTTCTTCCATTCCTCCCCCTACCCTCCACGCAAGAAAAGAACAGAACATGCTCAAACAGAGAATCTGTGACCCACATAAAAAAGGGAATCAATTGTACCCTGTAGCTTAAAGTCTAATTTTCTGAACCTTGCAAGTTAATCTGGCCCTATACAATACACTTGCCAATGACATGTCTGGAAAACAACTTCACCTCCCTCTAGATCACATTTTGGTTGGCGCTATGTTCAACTTGATACATCATAATTCACTTTATGTATTCACTCAACTTACACATGCAAAACTGATATAACAATTACAAAAAAAGGGGGGAAAAAAGGAAAGAAGGAAATATAAAAACATTCTCTGGTTAAAAGTATGTAGAAAACACGAACTTTCGAAAGCTTGTGTTTGTTATATACCTTTAGCCAGAGAACGTTTTCATGTTTCACCATGTCAGGTCATCCTCGCTGTGGTCCTTCCATATTATTTTCAAAATTGAATTAAGTAATAATGCCAATTCTTAAAACAATCGAAGAACAATGTGCAACATTTAGAAACACTTGCATAGCTCCAGTCACACAAATGGTTGTGAATGTAGCTTTTTCAACGTACTATGTCTCTCGTTTAATATTCAAATTCTTCCCTTCGCTATTTGTTATTCGTTTTTCAGCTTTCCAGACATTCTAGTTAAGCAAGAAAAGAACAGAAAAGCAGGCCATACTTGTTATCAACAGTAATGGCGATGTTTGGAAAGTCTCTGTCACGAAAGGCGAAGAGCTCAAGAAACTTTTGGAATGCCCAAAGGGAAATTGCCATACCGACTGTTGGTCTGAAAAATAAAATCGTATTACTGGGATATCTTTCTGTCTTTCTGGGTGTAAAGTAAGATATATAGGTTATGGATCAAGCGTGAGGTCAAGATGGCTGGATAATGGCCAAGCTCTTTTTTGGGTGTTTATGGACCGACACAGAGTCGAGGTCCATAAACAAGCAAAAAAGGCCAACATCCAGCAATCTTCACCGAGCAAGTTTGGTCAATAAAGGAATTATCATATGGAAAAAGAACATTATTTATTTATTTATTTTTGGCGGGAAAACGGCGGGTAATCCCGAGCGGGCACCATTTTGCACGTTCACGAAGCTAGAACAATAATGGGAGTTATGGATGCAAAAGTTGTACGGTCCTGATTAACCTTTGTTGTAAGTCCTGGTTCAGATCGTCTTGTATAGTTAAACAATTTGTCTTCACTGGTGTCTATTTTACCGATTTTTCAATTTTATTATATTATTTGACATTTTTTTTCTGAAAAGACCAGTGATCAATTGACTCTCGAATAACTGACAGGCTGACTGACTGACTGAATGAATAAATGTCTGTCTGTCTGTCTGTCTGTATGTATGTCTCTCTGTCTGTCTATCTGTCTGACTGACTCACTAACTGACTGACTGACTGACTAGCTAGCTAGCTGACTTGCTGACTGACGAACTGACTGACTGACTATCTGATTGACTGATTGTCTGTCTGTCTGACTGACTGACTGACTGACTGGCTGGTTGGTGGGCTGACTGACTGACTGACTGACTGATCGATTAGTCGATCGATAGATGGGGATCTTGAGTTAGTGTTGTATTAATCTTTTTCCTGACTGTTTCTAAATTGTAACCTAAGTACAATATATCAAAATAATATCAAGGTAAAACTTACAGCATCGCTATCAAGATCCCTTTCAATTCTGTTAAGGTTTCCGCAGAGAAAATCTCCTTCGCGTAACGGAATATAAATCCCAGAATCAGAGCAATTACGGCCATAAAAAATCCCATAACGACATTCCCTAGACAGTAAAAATCAAGAAGATTCAGATGAAAAGACAGACAAAGATATGAAGTACTCTGTATGGTTATTTGTCTCAGATCAGTCATGTGCTGTCTCAGTTCAGCAGGAGTCCTTTAGGACAATTAATTTTGTGGAAGTAGAACTGATGACTGATTGCAAGATATCAAGAACGATTTCGACGAATAATAATAGCGCCTATCCATGCCTGCTCTAGGCGCTGTACAATTTGCCAAAATGAGCTGTACTAATCTTAATAATTAAAAATATGCATTTAAGAAAGTAATAAAAAGTAAAAATCGCTAAGAATAATAAGTTTTCTTAAAAAGATGAGTTTTGAGTTTAGATTTAAAAGAACTTAGATTGTCACATGAGGGGATAGAAACAGGTAGACTGTTTCAGAGTTCAGGAGCGGAAACAGCAAAAGCTCGAGAACCATACGTCCTCAGGTGAAAATTCGAGGGGTTAAGAAGTAGTAAGTGTGATGATCGGAGGATTCTGGAAGGTTGGTAGTACGTTACTAGATCTTGAATGTAGACAGGAAATTGTTGATGAAGAGCCTTACAGGTAAGTAATATAATCTTGAATTTAATGCGTTCAGAAACAGGAAGCCAGTGTAATTCTTTCAGTACTGGAGTGATGTGGTCGTACTTTCGAGAACAGGTGATAAGTCGGGCAGCGGCGTTCTGAACAGACTGGAGCTTTTTTAAAGCACACTTCGGTACATTGTTCAAAAGAGAGTTGCAGTGGTCGAGTTTGGAAGACACAAAAGCATGGACCAAGATCTCGGTGGTTTTCGTAGATAAGAATTTCCTTATCCGGGAGATGTTGCGCAGATGATAAGAGGCTGATTTACAAATAGACTTGATATGCGGAGGCATAGTCATGATACTGTCAAATATCACACCGATGTTTCTAGCAAATTGAGATGGCTGAATTATGTCTTGACCAGAACGGATTGGTGGTAGAGACTGCTGCAGGTTGTGTTTATGTACATTGGGGTACATAAACTGGGTAGAAAATGTCGAATTACGATGATTTCCGTGGAACATTCGAGTAATAATGGCACAAATTAAGTTACCAAACAAACCCCATGGCATGGTAATATTTTGAACACAGTTAAGAAAAACTTATCGAGACTTAAGCTCTCAAGCTGACCCCGTGAGCGAAAATTGAACTTGAAGTTACCCATATTTCAATAAAAACAGACGTTTCGGGTCAGTTAAAAACATAATAACACACGCTTTAATCATTCTTACTAGGTTTGACATTAACTTTCTCGTGAATGCTTGAGAATTTAATCGCGGGGTCACTTAGAGAAATGAACTAAAGTGAGTTGTTTTAAATAGCATTCCCAAAGTTACCGTGCTATGGGTAGATTTTTGGTAAATAATTTTTGCAACCATTGCTCGAGCTTTGAGCGGAATCCGTCTCAATATTGACCATGGAATTTATTCTTTGGCCCGAAGGATTTATTTTGGACTCTCTGGAACGCATGAATTTTCTGTTCGCATCCGATTGGTTAAGAACAGATTTTATCGATGCATAGGGATTAGAACATACAAATGATTTTGATAAGAAAAATCTACTCCATCGCAATTCAGTTGTTGTTTTTTTTTTTTGCAATTAACCGAGAATGTATTAAAGGAAAGGGCCCCGAAAAAGTCATCAGCTCGCTTTGGATTGTTTCATAAACGACGCAATCGAATGAGCTTGCTCATGCGCCGAGCTGTAAAATCATTCCTTTAACAGTCACTGAAATGAAGTTAGAGGAAACGCTGGGAAGACAACTGCACTCTGAGAGAATAACACATCTTTCAAATCAAACGGAATAGTTTTCTTACACGACTTGCATAGCTCTTCGCTGTTGCCAGCTCTAGAAAGATTAGGAATAAAGAAATATCTCTTCTGGCTGACAATCCACTTTAAAATTCCCTTTGTTGTTACCGGTAGCACTAGAAAGATTAAGGTAAAAAATGTCTTCACGTATGCCTCATAATCCGTGAAAACCGCTGATAATGTCATATACATACTTAATTTTTTTTTAACACGAGATATACCATACCAGTGAAGACATAGGCTATCTGATATCCAGAGAATCGAAGACTTCTTCCCTGAGAAATAATAATAACGATCAGCAGCTTGAGAAAAACTTTTGTTGTTTAGAACATTTACATGCTTCACAAAAAAGAAACGTCTGAAACTCGGGAGAACAATTCCATACTTATGACGATTTCCGAGAAAAAAAAGCAAAAACAAAACAAAAAAAACAAAAAAACAAAAAAAAAAGAAAAAGAAAAAGAAAAAAACGATTCGAGGCGATACATAGATCTTTTCAGTAGCAAGCCATCGGCCGGCATGGGATTTCTATTTCTTGTTCAAGGGGGCGGAATAAGCGAGCGAATAGAGGCGTCAGATTAACATGCGCAGGTGGTGTTTAACGTTTACCCACAGAAAAAACATGGCCGCATACCACGCAGTTGTCAAAACACGTTTTGCATACGATTAGCGTACTAACATATTTGCTGAGATGATCAGAAATGGCAATTTCAGGCTTGATCTTGTGATTGCAGGAAATCTCAGAGTAGAGCGACGAGCCAGCAGCCGTTTTCTTCTTTGCATTCCAGGCCCTGGTTGTTCGAAGGCTGAATAACGCTATCCATCGAAAAACAACACCATCCGCTGAATAGTGATTTATCCGGTGGATAACGTTATTCACCTCTCGAGGAAACCCGGTCTCACTGTTTTCGAAATGTTTAGATTATTTTGGGTGTAAAAGGTTGATTTCTCAATGCATCACCGCGCCATTTTGAACTTGTGTTATTGTTAGAAAAACTGATATTCAGTAGCATTATGAGGACTAGTTAGGTCTAAAATTTGTCTTATTTTTTTCTTTATGTGCCATAAATTAAGGCAGAATTGATGCAATTTTCTGGGTTGAATATAATGTAAACCTACCACTAGTCGTGCAGGAGAAACAAACACATCTTGAGAAAATGTCATCTGGCCACGATACAGCTGAAAAATATGGTCCCTAAGTGAAACAGACGAAACAACATTACACTTAAGGTACATCAGTGATAGGGAAAACAAAACCTTTTAATTTGAAATCTTATAACACTTTGCTTTGTCAATTCGACAAGCTTGAATTAAAATCGATAACTTTCACTGAGTATTGTAAGGTTATTTGTCTCCAAAGTAAGAAAAAACAAACAAACAAAAAAGAATACGTTTGTTCTATATTACTTTTATTTATTTATTTATTTAGTTAGTTAGTTAGTTATTNGCAATTCAGCTTTTTGTTTTTGCAACTAACCGAGAATGTGTTAAAGGAAAGGGCCCCGAAAAAGTCATCAGCTCGCTTTGGATTGTTTCGTAAACAACGCAATCGAATGAGCTTGCTCATGCGCCGAGCCGTAAAATCATTCCTTTAACAGTCACTGAAATGAAGTTAGAGGAAACGCTGGAAAGACAACTGCACTCCGAGAGAATAATACATCTTTCAAATCAAACGGTGTAGTTTTCTTACACGACTAGCATAGCTCTTCACTGTTGCCAGCTCTAGAAAGATTAGGAATAAAGAAATATCTCTTCTGGCTGACAATTCATTTTAAAATCCCCTTTGTTTTTACTGGTAGCACTAGAAAGATTAAGGTACAAAATGTCTTCACGTATGCCTCATAATCCGCAAAAACCGCTGATAATGTCATATACATACTCAATTTTTTTTTTAACACGAGATATACTATACCAGTGAAGACAAAGGCTATCTGATATCCAGAAAATCGAAGACTTCTTCCCTGAAAAATAATGATAACGACCAGCAGCTTGAGTAAAAACTTTTGTTGTTTAGGACATTGACATGTTTCACGAGAAAAAAAAAGTCTAAAACTCGNACGGTCCGTACTTAGAAATCCTAACCAAAGAACAGCCAAACAGAGGACTGAAAATCGCTTTGCCAGGTAAAAAAAAAAAAAAAAAAAAAAAACGATTAGAGGCAATACATAGATCTTTTCAGTGGTAAGCCATCAGCTGGGATGGGATTTCTATTTTTTGTTCAATGGGGCGGAATAAGCGAGCGAATAGAGTTGTCAGATTGGCATGCGCAGATAGTGCTTAACGTTTACCAACAAAACCAACGGCCACATACCACACAGCTGTCAAAACACGTATTGCATATGATCTGCATACTAACATATTTGCTGAGCTGATCAGATATTGCAATTTCGCGCTTGATCGTGTGGTTGCAAGAAATCTCAGAGTTGAGAGACGAGCCAACAGCCGTTTTCTTCATTGTAGGTAAGTAATTAATTTTGCATTACAGGCTCCGGTTGTTCGAAGGCTGGCAAACGCTATCCAACGAAAATTAAACCACACTATCCACTGGAGAGTCATTTATCCGGTGGACAACGTTATCCACCGAATAACGTCGAAAGACCCGGGTCAGATCACTGTTTTCGAAATGTTTAGATTGTTTGGGTATAAGAGGTTGATTTCTCAATGCATCACTGTGCCATTTTGAACTTGTGTTATTGTTAGAAAAACTGATATTCAGTAGAATTCTGAGGATTAGCTTGGTCTAATATTTGTCTTATTTTTTGTTTATGTGGCATACATTAAGGCAGAATTGATGCACTTTTCTGGGATGAATGTAAACCTACCACTAGCCGTGCAGGAGAAACAAACACATCTTGAGAAAATGTCGTTTGGCCTCGATACAGCTGAAAAATATGGTCCCTGAAAAGACAAAATGAAACAACATCAGAGATACGGAACTAGTCACTTTGAGGAAAACAAATCCCCTTAATTTGAAATCACAAAGCACCTTGCTTTGCCAATTCGACAAGCTTGCATTAAAATCCATAACTTTCACTGAGTATTGTAAGGTTATTTTTCTCCAAAGTGAAAAAAAAAAAAGAAGGAAAGAAAAAAAGAAAGAATACGTTTGTTCTATATTACTTTTATCATGTCAACTGATTATTAAATCAAAGGTTTGGTCACTGATAAAACCAATACAAATTTGTTTCAAAAAGTATTTGTCAAGGTTATGGGTGTATCTGGAGGGTGTTGGAATTATCACCGAATTAAATTTTCATCCTTTTCTCAGCTATCAGTTACAATTTCGACTAATTTCTCAGCTGTCAGTAGATTTTTCAGATCCCAGATCTGAGATGTCATCTAAGGCCCATACAGATCTTCTACCTCTTGTAAAAAAAGAAAAGAGAAAAGTCAACAGAATAGAGAGAGAACCTGACGAAAGGCTCACCGATGGCATTTCATGAAATGCAGCAGAATTAGGATAGCGAAGAATGCAGCGACAATATATCCTCCCTGCAGGGAACCTGTGATAATCAAACCAAACCAAACTTAGTACTAAATAGACACTATTAGATCCCAAAAGCACTGTTGTGTTGAGTCGGTGACCGATGGATTACCCGACAAACTGACTGACTGACTGATCGACCAACCGACCGACCGACCGACTGACAGAATGGAATGGCTTACCACCTGACTGACCGACCAACTGAGCAACCAACTGAATGACTGACTGACTAAATGGCCAACTGACTGACTGACTGACTGACTAACTGACTGACTAACTGACTGACTTATAAACTGGGTTGCTGGCTAACTGACACTCTGACTAAGTGACAGATTGACTAACTGGCTGGCTGAATGACTGACTGCTGACTGAGCAGGCCATCAGTACAGGCCATCAGTACAGGCTATCAGTACAGACCCGCAAATGGGAGGTTAACAATATGTTTTATAATATATCCACAGTATCTCGGCCTGGGTAGAAGAAAAACATTCGCGTTAAGCTAGCGGGCAGAACACAGATGGTGTAGCCCGTAAAATTAGGGAAGTTCAGATTTCAGTACGAGTGCGAGAGCAATACCAGTATAACTAAATTTCAGTCCAGTTACGTTCACTATATTGCTAACAAATTGTGTATAAAGAACTTTTTAATTTACTGAACGGTGCGAGATTGGAGTGAAACGTAACAAATGAAAGCACACAGTGAAATAGACTTGAAAAGTCGTACTTGCACTCAATCTCACACTCGCAATGCTTACTGAAGGTCTTAATTGACCAATTACAGCTCGCCTACTATAACAAAGATGTATTCAACCAATGCAATACCAGGTATATTAACATTTGAATTAGATCTCATCTGTTTTCTCTACCTGTCATGTGACGTTTCAGTATTACTTGGTAAGAAGGACTTACCGAAGACAAGACGTAACATGTCGCATGATGAGTCAATGTCACATGAATCCAGAAATGTTCGCTTGAAGTATTCTAACCATGCCACAACACGTAAAAGAGACTAATTAAAAAAACAGACAGGAAGAATTCAGGGTAAAGCAGAACAATAAACAAAATTTGGCTTTCTCACCGACAAGTCTTATCTTGTTTTGTCTCCAAGACTTCCAGAAGTTATATTTCATACTGTCATTCAAGAAACTGTTTTAGAGCAGAGCTCAGCAAGTCTAAACAACCTCTCAGGAATTGGAAGCAAGGATCAATGGAAGATTGTTGTGCTTTGTTGTACACAAAAGAACGGAAGATAATTATGTGACATCGGTCAAACTGTTCCCCACGGTTTNAAGAACTTTTTAATTTACTGAACGGTGCGAGATTGGAGTGAAACGTAACAAATGAAAGCACACAGTGAAACAGATTTGAAAAGTCGTACTTGCACTCAATCCCACACTCGCAATGCTTACTGAAGGTCTTAATTGACCAATCACAGCTCGCCTACTATAACAAAGATGTATTCAACCAATGCAATACCAGGTATATTAACATTTAAATTAGATCTCATCTCTTTTCTCTACCTGTCATGTGACGTTTCAGTGTTACTTGGTAAGAAGGACTTACCGAAGAAAAGACGTAACAAGTCGCATGATGAGTCAATGTCACATGAATCCAGAGATGTTCGCTTGCAGTATTCTAACGATCCCACAACACGTAAAAGAGACTGATTAAAAAACAGACAGGAAGAATTCAGGGTAAAGCAGAACAATAAACAACATTTGGCTTTCTCACCGACAAGTCTTATCTTGTTTTGTCTCCATGACTTCCAGAAGTTATATTTCATACTGTCATTCAAGAAACTGTTTTAGAGCAGAGCTCAGAAAGTCTAAACAACCTCTCAGGAATTGGAAGCAAGGATCAATGGAAGATTGTTGTGCTTTGTTGTACACAAAAGAACG